ATATATATATATTGTTCATGTTTATTTGAGGAAAGACATATGTGTAAAGATAAATACTTAAATGGTAATAATAATAAAATTAAAACACTCTTTGCAAATTAAAGCCCAAGTCAGGCTCAAAGGAGAAACAAATGAATCCACTGAACTTGAAACATGAATCATTACCACTTATGGCCACAAGGGGGAGAGATGGAACTCCAAAACTATCTTTAATTACTTGTTAATTTTAAACAACTTATTTAAATATTAATATTTATTATAAATGTTGAGTACTTTTCAAGCATAATTTCAGTTCTTGTACTTGGCAGATATTTTGAAAGGAATGTTATTTTTTGGGGCTCCCAAAGGGGTCAGCCACACTGTGCTGACACAAAACACAATTTTCTTTTTCATATTTTCTATTGAACTAATGAAAACTCCTAAAAATTATACAGCTTGACAGGAATTAAGCTCTAATAAAGTGATTCTAAGATCAGCTGAAAACATTTCAGCGAAGCATCACTGAAGGATGCTTCTGTGCCAGGTGCTTCGACACTTGTCCAGTTTTCTCTTAAGGACACTCCATGTTCATAATAATCAGACATGAGAACTAAACTGAAACAAAGAAAAAATAAATAAAAACAGGAAATACCTTCAGAAAGCTCAGAGGTCTGTTGATCAAGACCATCCTGAAAGTAGAACAGAAAGTTTGGTCCCTTCAAAGTCAAATACATCAATTTAAGACTTTTGCACGGTTGCACAAATATATTTAAGAGCCCATCTCTTCACTGATTAATGAAACCATAGCTGACTAAAAACCAATGATTGCAGATAAGTTATTTTAAATATAAATCTGTTGTAAAATCTCTGCTTTGGCTCCTCAGCCTCTAAAACAGAACATGTGTCTTTTTTCAGTTCACACAGGAAATCACAAGTTTTCTGAAAGAGTTAAAGGGAAGTTGTTGTCTCTCATGTGAACTTTGGACAGAGTTTAAAAAAAGGGGTCAAAAGGAGGATGTTGCTGAAACTAAAATCACGTTTGGACAATAAGTCACTGCACGATGCGTGCAACAGCAGGGTGACGCCTCCACGACCACATTTCTACCTGATACCATCCTGCACACTCTGCACTGTAACAACAGCTAAAAACACGAGTCTGTCTGTCATGGTTTCAGTTATCAGGGAAAGGACGGGGCAGTTCCACCACACTCACAGTTCACAGAACACAAACACACAAAACCACTCAGTTCTGAGAAAGAAAAACCTGGACACAGTATTTATCTGCTGCCGTGCAGAATAATCTCTATTTCAAGTCTCAGGTGAACAGTAGGTATTTATTTTATTTTATTAAATAGAATTTTAGTCAAATAAAAACACTTTCTTAAATTAAAAATATTTAAACTCAATTAAGTTTAGAAGATTAGCATCAAAATCAGAAGTTATTTTTGATTGATTAGTTTAAAAGAGACAGAAACAAACATAATACACAACAGAAAAGAACAAAACTTATAAAAGACTTGTGTACCAGTATTTCCATTAAGATGACTGGTAGCGTGATGCACTCCCAGATGGATGTGACAACATTAAAATACGACTGTTCTTGGATTTACACAAACGACACATAAATTTGTATATTAAATTTCTCATCAGTGCCTGAAATGTCTTGACATGTGCACTACAAAACATCTCACTTGCACTACTGAATCTGGGTTTTTAAAGTAGAACTCTCAAGGCTTCTGCACACTAGCTTTTTAAAATTTTCACCACAAGGGGGTAGTATACATTTTGCAGAATTACATTTTGTAAACAACGTTATTCTTTTTGTGTCCAATCTGCTTCAGCTGAAGTCAGTCATTAATGCTGAATCAGCGTTTACTCTTTTGTTTTCCTGTTTTATTTATAACAGCCTCACTACCTCTGAATCCTTTGTGCTCAAACCATTCATAAATAAAATGTTCAGCTCCACCAGGAGATGTTGTGTTCTTATGTTTACACTGTAAACAAACCCTAGCCTGCCATAAATATATCTATTTATAAATTACAGTTTCAACTGTCATCAATGAAAAACTTTGAACTAATAACAAGAAGCAAAATGTGTCTTTGTGGGTTCACACGTCAGCAAATTCCCTACAAACATGCAAAAGTGCTCAGCAACAACAAACCCAGCACACAGTCAGTTCTGAGTCTCAAAGAGCACAAAGTGAGAGAGTTTTGTTTGTCAGATAAAGAAAACGTTTCGTGTGTCGAATGTTTGACACAACCTGAGAAGATGTTGTCTGAACAAAGAAAAATCTGTTTGAGTTAAATACAGTGTTGATGCTGTGGAAGACAAGCACGGTGGGTAGCAAACTCTTAATCTCTTTATTTAACCTAAAGTCTGAAAGGACTTTAGAACGGTTCTTCTAAAGGAAAAAAAATAGTATAGGTCTTCTGGACAGGTTCTTCTTTAATGAAACGTTTCGTCTCTCTTCCAAGAGACTTCTTCAGTCTGAGAGTTTCAGGCWAAATTCAGGCTTTTRAGTCCTGCCTCCAGGTGACTGATACTCACATCACATGGCTATCGTTCACAGGTGACTCATACTCACATCACATGGCTATGGTTCACAGGTGACTGATACTCACATCACATGGCCATCGCTCACCCTAATTAATACCTATTGTTAACAGGGGGTGGAGTGATACTGCCAATGACAGCGCTGTAGGAGTGGGACAGCTGAAAACGGAGGCCTCCACCTCTGTTTAATGATGGACGGTCTTTCTTTACAAAAATGACTTCTTTTACTCCTCTCTCAAACCAACGTTCCTCCCTATCAAGAATGAGAACATCCTCATCTCTGAAGGATTGACCGAGATGAGGATGTTCTCATTCTTGATAGGGAGGAACGTTGGTTTGAGAGAGGAGTAAAATAAGCCATTTTTGTGAAGAAAGACCGTCCATCATTAAACAGAGGTGGGGGCCTCAGTTTTCAGCTGTCCCACTCCTACAGCGCTGTCATTGGCAGTATCACTCCACCCCCTGTTAACAATAGGTATTAATTAGGGTGAGCGATAGCCATGTGATGTGAGTATCAGTCACATGGAGGCAGGACTTAAAAGCCTGAATTTTGCCTGAAACTCTCAGACTGAAGAAGTGTCTTGGAGGAGAGACGAAACGTTTCATTAAAGAAGAACCCGTCCAGAGGACCTATACTATTTTTTTTCCTTTTGATTTTTTACCTGGATTACTGAGATGCATCAGGACAACGGTTCTTCTAATAAACACAACGCATCAGTTGAAAAAAAAAAAAACACAACGGTTGCTGCTTGTGTGTCCAACAATCTTTAAATCAAACTAGAGGCTGGATCATTGCAGAGTTTCTCTCTGTTTCACTCCCCTTCTTTAAACTCTGACCCGTCCCACAGCATGAAGCTGCCACGTGCTTCACTGTGGCGATGGTTTCCTCTGAGGTTTCTGCCTGTAAACAAACAGAAAATCAATTTAAACTAGACATGGGTTTTTACAATGTAAAAACAAGTGTGCATTGCCATGTAGCACACTCTAAAAATGAAATGCTGGATTTACTTAACCATGTTATAAATTCAAGGCAACATACTCATGTTCTTTGGCTAAAAAACTGGTAAATTGCTTTGAATTTACTCAACTCAGTTAAGTGGAACCAGGTAACATAACATGGTTAAGTAAATCCAACATTTCATTTTTTACAGTGCATGTCATTGCAGCGTGGCTTTGCCTGCTGCATTGGACTTGCAGAATGAAATGGGACCAAGTTCAAATGTGTTTTCTATACCAGCTTGTGCCTGTCACGTCAGCAGGTGTTTGTAATTAAGGTAATTGTGTAACAATATGAAGTTTAAAGAGATTTTTGTTAAATTTGCAGTAGCTGGATTTGAACCCTGATCTCCCACATGAAAGCCCACAGTGCTCATCATGAGACTATAGGAGATGTGGCAGAGGACAATCCCAGGGATTGGATTGTATGTATACAGAAAAAGTTCACCTTGCCAATGCAATTATTGACACTTAAGTGCAATATATTACAGCAATAGGACAACATAAAGACAGTATTACAGTAAAACATCAAAATACAATCATATTAATATTGTAATCACTGAACTACTGAGTTTAAATATTATGAAACTATGGTGCAGTACCATATTGTGTAGATGCAGCAGGGGGCAGAATTGGACTAATACAAGGCTCTATTGACTGCCATTATAATTTATTAAACATTAATAGTTCAAAAACAATAAGTTTTACTGGCACCAAAAGGCATAGCCATCATTTGACACAGGGGCTTTACAGATATAAATTACAATGGCAGCTGTAGGACAAAGTATGCAGGAGGAGAAGCATGGCAAAGTTGAGATGACTTGGATGGGAAACGAATCACAATAGTATGCATTGCACTGGCAATGCACACTGACTAAAAGTTTTGAGGCAACAAAACAGAAAAGATACAGAGTGTGCATATTTTTCCACTGACTTTATGTTTAGGTTTCTCTGTATTTTTGGACACACTTTTATCATTATATTAAAAAGTGTTTTATGCAGTAGTGGGCAGCACTAATCTAAAAATTAGTTGCACTAACCCTTAAGCACTAACTCTAATATTTAGATAACCTAAATCTAA